TTCTTTTATTTTGTTATTTTTTAATTCCCTCCCCATAAGGACCTTTTCTCATCACTTTGTTTCACAGATACACATTTTTGAGCATATTTTCGACATTTTCTTTGTTTATTTATTCTTTTTCAATTTATTGTTATGAATTTTCAAAGAACACTTCTTAAATTTTGTAAGAACATTATTTTTTAATTCCCTCACCATAAGAAATTGTTATCACAATGTTTCACAGATGCACATTTTTTGAGCATTTATTAGATATTTTCTCTGATTATTGATTTTCTTGATCTTTTTTATAAATTTTTAATGAATACTATTTTTTTTTATTTACTGGTAGTAAGTTTTTATTTTTTGGGTTATGAATAACAGGTACAACAACCTGTGTGGCCAGAATGTGTGACCTTTAGGGATCATGCATAAGGCAGGCTAATTGTGATCTAACATGGTCCTACATGATATAAAATAAACCAGTATATATAGCTACATGTCAAGGAATGGATTATTTTCAACACGAACGTAAGTATGTACCTAATCTTTGGGGTTGAGCTACGTCACAGAACATTCTATGTAGCTTAGATGCACCAACGGGCTCTACACGAGCTGCCGTATCTACCGCCAGTCAAAAAGCCAGTGAAAAACAGCTAATGACGAGAAAACAAAACAAACTATGAGACACTCCTGAACAACCAAATTTATATATATTGCACATATAATGGTAATCTTGTTACACTGTTCACGAGAATCTCAACAACTATCCCAAAATACTGTTTTCTGAGAGGTTTCAGTCTTTGTTTTCACCCTGGTGAATAATTGGCATGGATTCAGAGATAACTACAGCTCTGAATTTTTTTCAGTGTTACCGGTACTATAAAAATTTTTAATTGAAAAAATAATAAATAACAACCTTTTTATTATCCCTTGGTATTTAGTTTCACTATTGTTATTAGTGTTTTAAAATCATGGATTTTCCAGGAAAACATAGAGTTCTTTTGTTATTTTACATATATGTGTAAAAATTACAACGATTAAATGGTTTAATTATTCACTGTTTTTAATTTTGCTATTTACAATTCACTAAATCATTTTGAGATATTTGGTAAATTTTAATACAAACAAAAAGAACACAGTACAATAGCACAATAAATCAAAGTGGTATTAATCAAACACAACACAAAAATCTGAGAAATTTATCACCAGTTTTATTATACATGTAACAACATGTACTTGGACTGGTATCAAGCCATGATTCCCAAAAGGTGCAATAAAAATAAGATTCCAGCTAGAATCCCTTCTGAAATTGTTTTTTTTCTTTTCTTTTTACAGAGATCAATCCTGACTTGAAAAATTACCCGCTACATGTGGTCATGCGACATGTAGTCTTGATGTTCAAATTTGAAATGTGACATTTTTTTAGCTACTATATTAATTAGCGTTTGATTCGTCATCAGAAAAACAAGCAGCCTGTCGGCTGAGATAGCTCCGCTGTTAGCAATGCACATTTCAATTAAAGAACTGAAGACATCATCAGAAAATAAACAATAGGTATAGTATCAAAGCAATCGGACTTGCTATTTTCAACAAAAATGTCAAAAATATTCATTAAAATTAGAGAATTGAAGATATCATCATGAAATCTGAGAGAGGTCTACCTGAGGTAATCAATCAGACTTGCGGTTTTTAACAAGAAGTCGAAAATATCACTTTTTACCAAAAAAGACAAAAATAATCATTAAAATTAGAGAATTGAAGATATCATCACAAAATGAACAAATCTGAGAGCGGTTCACATGTAGGACCTATATATGTAATATCAAAGCAATTGAATTTACGATTTTCAACAAGAAGTCGTAAATATCACTTTTCACCAAAAATGTCAAAAATATTCACCAAAATTTTGAGATTTTGACATGAAATGAACAAATCTGAGACTTTGTCGACAGTGGAGCTAAAAAAGGTACTTCTGGTTTCCTTAGACATTTTGCAATAAATTTGGAACACTATCATTAATTAAATGCTAATCATAATTTTGGAACACCAAAATCAAATTCTGTTACTCTTCGAAAAATATTATAACTATATAGACCTGTGAGAAATGCATCATTATTCACTCTTACTTGTTTTTACAAATACATCACCTGCTAACAACATTATATAGCAATTATATCTGCCATTCATGGAAGCTTTCAGCAGACGATGTATTAAGACCACCATGTATGAATGTTTACTAAAGTAGAAAACATCCTTGACATTTTGTAGCAGAAGTTCACAACAGAATCTTTGAAGATAATCATTTATTTATTTCAGTCACATCTTATCCCAAACCTTACTATCAATGTTTTACAGGAAAAAAGCCATTGCTAATGGAATTTAAAGGATTTTCAAAATTAAATATTTACATGGTATTATCAAGAGCTTGTCGCCGATATCAGTTGGTTGTTACGAGTGACGTACAAGGAGATATTATAGCACATGGCACCACAAAACAAAAAGCTCTATGAATAAGTAGTATCACAGGATTACATGCACTCTCTTAACCAAGACAAACAGAATGCATGCTTCAAATCATCAAAATTATTTAAAATACTAATGCGACTATATGTACTGTAAATATGAATGCTAGAGCCACTACATTTGTAGTTGGGACCACCAACATCAGAATTATAATCAAATTTCATCTGCATTTTCATTGTAAAACATGTCAGAAGAAAGGTTCTTTGACCTGAATTTATAACAACACTGTCAGAGTTTGCGCTAGTGTCTCAGCAAGATGAGTCCCACTTACAAAATTTTAAGAAATTTGACCCTGGATAACTTTATTAGAGATTGGACCCCAGCTTGCCTGAAAAACAAAGCAAAATATGAAGTTAACGCAATCCCTGACTGACCTACATTTAATAATTTGATTGTTATTGTTTTTCTCTCTTTGAATGAACAACTTAATTTGAGGTTATCGCATGATATCATTTCTTCATAGTGCTGGTTGATACGGGTGACATCATAGGCTGAGTACCGGGTAGTATTATCCATAAACCAAAGATATGCGACTACCATGATGCCTCAAGTATCAACCAGCTCTC